TTAATTCTAATATCTACAGATAATATTGACAAGAAAGGCAAGTTATTTAATATAGCATTATATTGTTAAAAGTTAGAATTATAAGTAGTTGCTACATTAATTACTTCTTTTAATGTTATAGGATGGGTTGAATTTACAAAGAATTTAATTTCTGATCTGAGCCTATCTATAAAATAAGATATATATAAATGAGCTGGTTAGGTATTAGTCAGATCTACTCTTCTAATTAATTCTCTGATAATTATAATATATTATTCTGTACTTTTATTAGATAATTATTTTCTTTATTTTAACTATTGTTACCATTTATACAATTAATCATGATTTCTAAAGTACTTTTCAAATTGATATATAAATAAAATTTCTTTTGTATTTTGATTAGTATTATTATTATAACTCCAGATTTCAGATCATTCTGGATCTTATAACTTTTTATTAGCATATCATATAGTAGCTAAGCCTTTTAGGTAAGTTTCTACTATTTAAATTTTTTTATTATTACTAATACTATTAGTGATACAAATATTTTCAAAGTCTTGAAGCCAATCAATTAGATCTTGAGTATTATTATAGAATTCTATAATTTTGATGTAATTAGCTTCCTTTGATCTTCCTAGAGTTACAGCAAGTGCTTTAATTCTATGTATCAGATCTTTAATTCTGTTATTAGTAGTTAATAAAGATAATATTTTATTTTTCTTATCTCTGTTCATTTTTTCTTCTTCAAGTGATATTGAGAAAATAAAGATTGAAGTAATAGATATATCTTAAATAATTAGTTGTATTTCTAAGTATTTATTGAGTGATGATTATGCTAATATCTGTTCAAAAGTATTTGAATTATATTTTTTAAACTATTGTAAGTTATCTAATAATTCTTTGTTTAATTTTGATTGACTCAGATTAAATACTTCTACAAGTATGTCTTGTTACTTTTTTTATCTTTGTTTTGTCAAATATTTGCTTCTCTTGTCTTTAAATTCAAATATCTCTTATTGTAATTTATAGAGATATATTTGTATTTATTCTGTTAATAAATCAGTTTCTTCTTCAATTAAAGTTGCAAAAGCTTTTCTTGTCTTGGTTTGGATTTCACTATATATTACTTTTTAATAAAAATAGTAGAACTTTTTTCAGATGACTTGATGATCAGATTTAGTATAATCTTCAAAATATAACTTAGTAAATAGTTAAGTGAAGAGTCTTTCTCTTTCTACTTTGATTTCTTTAATTAGATCCATCTTGATATGTTGCAAAATTATTTTTTCAGTTACTTTTAATTTTCTACTAATTTCAATTTAATTCACAGAGAATTTTTTATCTAGATTTGAGTTGAATTTAATAATCTTATAGAATTATTTTTTCATAGAGAGAATATCAAAAGTTATTATCTTTTTGATGCAAGTCTATTGTGAGAATGAGTATTAAATCTAATATTACAAAAGTACATGATAAAAGTGATCATATGCTTAAAGTAATATTTGTGAAAGTCTTTAAAAAATTTATTAATAAGAATATATAAATATTATTATTTATCTAAAGATAGATAATGATAGTATTCTTGTTGTGACTAACTAGAATATAGTCCAATTCCAAAATATAATTTCAAGATAGATGTAATGTTCAATTTATTAACAAGACAAAATAATAGATCTTAATTAAGATCTATTCTACAAGAGAGATTTCTTAGAATTCTCTTAAAACTAAAATCTATTTAAATACAAATTGAGAACTAAACTCATAGAACTCAAACTAAATAATTAATTGACTATTAACTGACTTTTTAATTAATTATCTACTATCTAATTTACTAGCTAAAATATATCACTTTTATATATTTTAAAGATTATACAAATGATACTTTTATTATAATACTTATGTTAGTTTTACTATGATCTAAATATTACTTTAACTAGTATCATAATATTAATTTTATTATGATAGTATTATTAGTTTTGCTATGATAATTTTTCTAACTTTGCTATAATAATTTTGCCATGATCATTGTATTTGTGAAATCTTCTAAAAATATCTACAAATAATATTTTCTAAAGCTAATAACCAATAAGATATAAATAATTATTCATCTAATTATATTGTGATATAAAGTAATCAGTAATATGTAATTAATTAATATTTTACTAAAAGTTTATATTACAATAATATATTTAAATATATATTAAAATTAATATAATTAATAAAATATAGTTAAATCTTTTTATAATTATATTTTTTTATTAATATAAATAATTTAAAAATATTTAATATTTTAAATTATAAAGAAATTTTATTTATATATATAATTATTAAAAAATTATTTTATTAAATAGTTTTTGTTTTATAATATTATATTTATTTTATTTATTATTTTATAATAATTATTTATAATTAAATATTTTTAATATTAATTTTAATAATAATCAAATTTTTTAATATTTAATATATTATATATATTATTTTTAATTATCTAAATTTTAATATGTAAAATTATATTAATTTTTATATAAAATTTAATTTAATATTATATAAATTAAAAATATTTTATTTGAAAAATTTTAATATTTATTTAAAAATAATAATTCTTTAAAAAATTTAGTAATAATATAGTATTTGATATAATTAAACTGTTTATATTAGAGTTATATTTTTTTATAATTATTTTTATGAGTTTTTAATTATTAGTTAATTATAATTAAAAAAATCTTTATTTTTTAAATCATTTCTTTTATAAATTTATTTTGAATTCCAAGTTAATAAACAGAATATATTTAAATAAATATAGTAATTTAAAATTTTAATTATATTATAGAGCTTAACTTAATAAAAAAGTTTATTTATTATATCAAAAACAGTTTTATTAGTAAAAAATTAAGTAATTTGACTTCAAACTATTTTTTCATTTATTCTCAATTTCAAACAGTTTAAGAGATAATCACATCTCTTTATAATCATTTAACTTTGCTTTTTTGAGTATAAGAATTATAAAGAGATTTAACTATATCAAATACAGATCTCTTTATAATTATTATATTTGAAAGATCAAAATTAAATGATTATAAAGAGATATAATTAATTATAGTTAATTAATAACTGGAAATTCAAAAAGATTAATTATAAAAAATATAACTCTAGAGAGATCTGACTATTATATATAGTAATTGCTAATTAATAAAATGTTCGATAACTTTCTTCTATTAATATAATTCGAATCGGCATTATAATAATGCAAATTATCATAATACAATTCTGAATTTATCGATATATTCTGAATCAGGTTAAAATTCGAAACAAAATCACATGTAAGTCAAACCATCTAATTTATAGTTAACGTTAATCATTTAACTTTAATCATTTAACTTTAACACATGATTAAATAGATAATTTATTATAGAATCAAATTATGATTGGTTTATCCTTTAGAAATCACGAGACTCATACATATCACGTGATAGTCTTGGTGGAATGTTTTTGATTGGTGATTTGACTTTTAACCACTTTAATTATTCAGAATTAACATTAAAGAAATTGAAAATATTGTGATCACAGAAATTTGAATTTATTGCGATTAATTTTTAAAAAATATTTGCAGGTTCCTCGTCGTGTTCTCACCTGAAGCACAACACCCGATTCTTAACCTTTCACAAATCTCAAAAAATTCCACAACCACCGATCGTTTGTTATACATTCATATAAAAAATAGCAGCAATAAAATAAGCACAACTCACATATTCCATGATACGAGATACACATTCATCCTTTTCACATGCATACCATCAGATGCTTTCTCGAATAGATGATCTAAAGACGAACCAACCAATAAAAATCTTATTATATCTCGGAGACCCAAAATCAAAACTTTAATATAACAGCGATTTTAATGGATAATAATGATGTGTATTTTTTATAATGATAATTTTGGGATGTGATAAGTATAATAGTAATGATAACAAATAGATAGATTAAATAATAGTATAAATAAATAATAGTAAAAGGGATTCAAATTTAGGAACAATGGACATAATAATAAATAATATATGGTAGTAATAATGATAATAATAATAAAAATAATAATACTAATACTAATGTAACAGATAATAATTATAAATTATAATAATAAATATTGAAGTGAAATCGGGTTGGGTCAAGTTAGAATAACATGTGTATCTTTTTAAGAATAAATAATAATAATCGCCGAATCTTTGATCGCTTAAAAACGAATAAAGCTTCGGGCTATTTTGTCAATAAATTAAATATAGACAACACATAGAGAACAAACGCACGGAACTTTGTAATAACATCAAGAAAAAGGGAAATATTATATATTTATATGTGTATGTATGTATAATATATATATAAAAAAACTATAAGTATAATGCAAAAATTTGTACAAAACTAATAAAAAAAAATATAAAAAAGACTTGTGCTGTATTTGTAAAAATACAACAAAAAATCAATCAATTATAACTAATATATATGTATAAAATATAATTTTATGTAAATAATAAACGAAAAAAAATAAGGGGAACACAAATTTCTTGGTATGCGTTCGTGTGCAAATGAGAAATCGTGTGCATTATTAAGAGTGGGAAAGAAATTTTTTTGTGGGAATTTTTCTACCTCTATTATATATATAAAAAGTAAGAATAAAAATCAAATAAAAATAAAAAGGCACACGACACGCTCGGCGTGTAATTCTTTGAATATTTCTCTAAAAAAAGTGACAAGTATACAAACCCAACCCTAATTTTAACCCAAAAAATAAAATACAAATGGAACAGGCTTATTATTATTAATTACTACCCTATATAACCATTTGCCTGCCCAAAAAACAAAATAATAAAACAACCGGCATATTTACAATACCGCGGGCATGAACCCAAAATAATGGAAGAAGGCTTGATTAATTATAAATTAATTTTGTTTTTTGTGTTGCCATGAAGAAATTATTGATTTATGATTAATTTGCGGTAGTCGAGATTTTTGTTGATGTTAAATAATCCTTATAGTTTTTCGGATTCTTCCAATTTGCCCATACGGAAATTCATATTAAGATGTCCAAGACTTTTACCCAACTCCGAAGTTGGCGTAGAATTTGTGCTACTCGAATTTGATGGAGGTGATTTCGATCCATGATGATCAAGTCGACCATTCGAGCCAGTTGGATTACTCGATCCATTCTTGTGATCACTGCTGTTCGGACTTGTAGATGAGTGGTGCCCGTTAGATTGCGATGATGTTGGACCAGATACACTATCGGATCGTCCGGTGGCCGGCAAATTTGGTGAGCCTCGGCTGTTACGTTGATATCCATTAGAGTGATGCTGTTCATTATCGGAATGGTATCCACCGTGATGGTGAGAAGAGTTATTTGGGATATGACCGTTATACATTTGGAACCCTTCGACGTATTCTTGAGAATGGAATCCGGGCGAAGTTAAAGGATGGTCTGGTATATCGGAAGATGATTGTGGAATTTGAATCTTCATAAATTGTTTTGCAGATGAAGAATTATTTGAATTCGCGCCCGTTGGCAAATGCCGTGACTCATATGATGAGAAGGCGGAATTATGGGCGGAATTAGCTGTAACAAAAAACACAGAAGATAAGGAAAATAGTAACGAACCATTCATGTATATCGGAGTGTGTGGCAAGATTGTGTGTGTATATGTGGAGATTGAGTTTGAGATTATTAGTGAAATCGAGAATTAATTGTGAGGAGAAACGTAGTGATGTTTTCAGTGAAGGTGTCGAAAAAGGTGATGTATTGAATAATTGGAGAGAAATTTTGAAAATAACAAAAAAGAGGGGAAAATGTTAACATAGTTTGATAAATCGAAAAAAAATTTCTTGTCGATTACTTAATCGATTCATCTAATCAGTGTTTACTTACCTTCCACGTTATGCATTTCCATACCAACTTGGTTTTGATGATGTTGATGGTGAGGCGGTATGTGCTGAATTTTTTGATCGTGCGAGCTGTGATCTATATTTGGATTGTGATACATATCAGGGTTTGATGATTCAGATGCATCATTGATATTTGGCACCATATAAGGTTGGTGCGAGTGTTGAGAATGGAAAGGTGTAGTTGGCGTATTTGGTGTACTGCTCATTATTAATGATAACGCCTCATTTCGCATCGGATTTGGATTGTTCACAGGTGGAAAACTAGTGAATTGTGGATAAGAGCCATATGGAGTGAAAGGTGAACCACCATATTCACCTGGCATCACTCCTGGTGCACCGTTATTTGGTGGATTATGAAATCCGATATGACGATCATTTGGGAAAGCAGGGTTCATTCCCATAGGGTTATAACGCTCATGATTATCAGCGTAATGTCCTGGAGAGCGACCACGTACAACTAATGCAGCCGAGGTAGAAGTTGCCACTCGGTGAGTCTCACCACTCTCTACTTGTGCGTATAGATCTACTAATACTACATAATATTGTTGAGCAGCCCGACGTTTGCCATTATTAGCGGTGGCCGTCTTGAATTGAATACGTTCAAATGTAACAATATTTGAGTTTGATCCGACTGAGCTAAGATTAAGATTTCCGCCGGCTCTAATTGTTTTTGGTATTGGGACCATCTGAGGACCTTTATCACGTTTTGGAGTGTGTTGAACCAATTCAATCTTCTTATCACTATTAGACACACGAGCAGTGATTCCAAGTAAGAATTGTGTTACTGTGTGGAATTGACCTTCGACTTCAATTAGGCAAGGTACTTCGGATTCATTCAGTGGATGCGTTGTCCCATTTAGAGTAATTGAGAATGCACTACTGATTTGGAAATAATTCCTTCGGTAGCAAGTCCAATCACTATCCGCAAGGAAAAATCCACGGTCAACTTTTGAGTTTATGTGAAGTTTGTAACTATAGATAATTGATAATCACAATCAGTAACTGATAATTTTTTTTAACACTGATCATCAACGGATAGAATTGCTATTAATAGATATTATTTACCTATTGGCACGATCCATGCTATAAAGGTTAAAATGTTGTTTCGTGGCGGAGAAGAATGGACCAGCATCCCCAGGGAAACCCAAAGTATCCGATCTTCTCTTTCGAGTAGCACTATTATATGGCGTAGAAGGAAAAGATGATGTTGTAAAAGGTGGTGGATGACCATCAATTCTTTTACGATCAGGTACTGAACTCGGAGTTGACGGTGTGTTATTTGGATTTGTGCCATTTGGTCGTGGAACTGATGCGTTCACATAACTGCAGCATCCATTAATCGTCGTAAAAGATCATATTAACGACTTAACAAGTTGATGTTAAAATCTGAACGAATTGATCATTGTATAACATACCCTTGGTACGGCCTTTGTGGAACGTCCATCTCTTGTTTGGGCGGATTCATATACATTTGATGGTTTCCTTCGTGAACTGGTCTGTGCATAACAAATAACGATTATTATAGCGTTAGATATGTAATCTCATTCAGTGAATAAATTTCTGGCGTCAATGTGCAAATGAACTTTTGTTTGTGCAATTGGAAATATAACATCCGTAAAAAATATATATACGCGCGCACTTGCACATAAGAATATCTCTAAGAAATAGAAATAAGAAAAGAGAGGGAACGGTAAAGTTTTCAAGTGTAAGGTAGGACACGCGCGCAACGAGAACCTACACCAACTTGCATACACACTGCCGACTTGTGACTCTAAACCAGTTTGGGTCGAAACACAACACATTTTTTTTTGCTAGTCTCATGCCTGTCTCCCCAAAAAAAATTAAGTTGAAAGAGAGCAGACAACGTCTCTCTTTTTCTTATTTCGTGTATTTCAAATTGTTGTAAACTTGAATTAATTAAAAATGAAGAAATTATGGTAAAGCACATGGAAACTTACATTTGTGGCGGTTGACCATCGTAATAATTTGATATAAAATTTTCGCTTGGAATGCCACTCATTTGTGAAGCCATACTAAGATGGGAATAATGAGAAAAAGGAGGAAATTGTGGTGGTTGTTGCTCTTGAATTGACCACTTTTCTTCGTTTATATTCATTTGCGTTTATTAAGATTATTTAATGAGTAGATACCTTTATTTTATTCTTTTCTTTAGAGTGTGCGTACTGCAAGTATAATACTTTTCTCGTCTTTTACAATGAATTTACAATATATATGGTGTTCTAGTTAGTCGTTGGGTCTTTAAGATCGTAAGGAGTTTTGCTGTATTTTTTTTTTACGCGTGTGTGTGTGCGTGTGTATGTGTGTAAGAGTGAGTGTTTGTGTTTTGTGTGTGTATGCGTTTCAAAAAAAGGTCGTCGTGGACGTGTGCGTGTGTATATTAGATAAAAAAAGAGATATAGAGAGAAGGTAAATATAGGAAATGCATAAAATAAATTTCCGGCACAAAAAGTAAACTGATATTTATAAATTCATGGAAGAGATGAGGGAAAAAAATGTAATTGGCAGGTTAGTATGTTTTTATCCTGGGGGGTACTAAATAGCATTACAAAATAGCAAAATGATATTCGGATTGTTTTGAATGTTAAACAAAAACAAAGAATTCAAACGAAGTAAGAGTGAAATGGAGAAAGCGAAGGAGAAATTACCCAACCAACCAGTCAGTCAGTCAGTCAGTCAGAAAGTTATTCGTTCATTCATGCATTCATTCAATCGATTAATCGAAAGACACTTTCAATTCATAACCAACGAAAAGACAAATTAACAACAAAATAAGGGAAGAAAATAATGAAAGTGTCAAAGATTAATTGATGATGAGAAGACTGAAAGCAAACAACTACGACGCAATCAAGAAAAGAAACAACGATAAAAAAATATTAATCTAAAGGATAAACGAAAATCTGACTGATTGATTTAAAGACTTGACTTTGCTATTAAAGTGTTGTGTGAGAGTGTGTGTGAGTGTGTGTGTGTGTGTATTGGGTTTTGGGTTAGGGTTAAGGTCATACAATACTAGAGAGAATATAATAATAGTAATAGTAATAATCATAATAATAGGAATATAATAATGAAGTAGTGATAATAATGAATACTTACGCAGTGTGTGTGTGTGTGTGTGTGTGTGTGTGTGTGTGTGTTATGTGTTTTGGTTATTAGAAGAAGAAATTAGAGTGTGCGTGTGCCGATTTTTTTTTTGAACTGGGAAAGCAAGACACACAAAAAACAGTAGCACTTTTTGTATCAAGCAGCACAAAATAACTGATGCTTTTTATGTGTATTTGAAGCCAATTAGAGAGATTTTTTCATTATTTGACGCTGTGTTATGGACATCTCTGTGAATGTATGCTCAATGCTTTCCTTTGAGTCACCAAAAAAATAACAAGTTTAATTTTTAATAATTAATATAATATAAATATTATAAATTATAAATTATATAAATTATATACATTTATTTATATTTTTTTTTATATTTATACACGTTCTGGGGTGCATCAACCCTATGTTTGTTTACACACACTTTTAGGGTGGCATAACAGAGACACCGCTAATTATGATTAAGTAACCAATAAGATTAGTAAAGTAATACGCGATTGATTGATTGTTTGATTTGTCACCTCTTCGAAAAAAACTGAGGCCCGGTAGTGATTTCAAATTTTTAGATGCAGTATATCGATATATATTCAAATTTTCTAATCAATCTCTCGCTTAAAAAAGAAAAGCGTAACTCGTTTCTTTCAGGTTAACATCATCATCGAAATATTTTCTCATAAAACATGAACTAGCGAGCGAGAGAGGGACATCGCCGAGGAAACAAATCATTACGTTTGCACGTATAATCATCTCTTCAACACTATTATATGATAAGATACAATAAAAGATATAAATAAAGATAAAAAAAAACTATAAATAAAAACAAAAAGAGAATGGTTTATTCTAATCATTATTCTAATTATAATTATACAGCGTACGAGATTTTTTCGTTACACTATCGCCGGGAAAAATACTCCGAGTAACGAGATGTATCTTTTTGGCAGATATATTATTGTGATTTGTTTTCATTTGAAATTTAAAAAATAATATCGATATACGAACAGATTTCTTTTCATTTATTAGTCAATTTAAGCAATAATCTGATCAATTAATGATAAAAAGTTAATTAAACGACATAAATACATTCTATGCAATGTTTTTGCCTTTTATTCAGTCTTTATATTAATACATTTAATTTTGTCCTGTTTACCATTTTCATTTTTAAAATTTGAAATTACAAACCATTATTATTATTATTATTATTATTATTATTATTATTATTATTATTATTATTATTATTATTATTATTATTATTATTA